GGGTTAATATCAGGGTTGGGGTTAATATCAGGGTTGGACCGTTTAAATAAATGATAGTCAATGTAGATCCCCATAAGGATAGCAAAACAGATCAGTGTGTGTGTGTTTTTGCCTTTGCTAGCTGACCTAGATAAGCCAGGCAATCTGCTCCCCCCGCAGTGCAGGGAGTCCCCCGCCATACGTTCATGACTCGAGGGCCCTTCAGGGACCTCTTGCACAGTAGGAAACCAGACTGTCAGCAACATTCAAAGAGACTGAATATGTATAAATCTGATGTAATGATAAAGAAACATTCAAAGTAAATGTCCTCTTTCAAAAGTGAAGAAGATATTCTGGGTTATCCTTTGGAACCAGCCTGAGACTCTGACCACGACCTTCACATTTAAAAACCCCAATAATTAGACTGGCACGTCATCACTTCAGTGAAAAGCTTTAGGCAAGCACAAGACTTTCATCACTGCTTTAAAGGTCCCCCAGGGGCCCCACTGTGATTCCCACACAGATCAGATCATAGAAACAGAAAAGAAAATGAACTCACAGCAAGGTACAGAGCGGCGTAGACGCTGAGGGCCGCCTCCTTGGAGGGAAAGGTCTTGCGGGCCCTCAGGATGTCGTCTTGGTTCCCTGTGCAGGCCTCCTGGTGGCTGATGTAGCGCAGGGCCTGTTGGCAGCCGAGCGCAGTGTAGTTGGGCTTACACACCGTCAGGAAGTACGGCGCCAGGTTTCCCGTCACCACCTGCCCCGCGTTGACGAAGATGTCCACGGTGAAGAGGCCGAAGGCGTAGACTCCTGGGCAGAGGGGAGCCGATGGAACACATGAGACGGAGCCAAAGAATATTTGGTTTAATAACAAGAAGTGATGCATAAAAGAGTAAAAATAAACTTTTATGTTGAAATTAAATCCCAGTATTGATCAGAAATATCTGGAATCGATTTTTAACGTTTCCCAGCGTCTCTTTCGTAGACGGAAGTAAACCTTTTAAAGACGGTTCTAGCCTGCGTTCTGCAAAAACCTCTCAGTGTGCTCAATCACACCTGTTGCTTGGACTTCTTCTCTACCACAGTTTTTCCTTCCACTCAACTTTCCAAAGGTTTTTATCACCCTGCAATATGTGATTGTTCTGTTTGTTTATTGTCATGGCTTGATCAGTTGGTATTAAGTATTCAGCTACAGCCTGTTCTGTCCAGAGGAACTATTATTTTTAGTAAAGTACATTTCTGGATTAAAGTTCAATCAGATTTTCTTTTTTGAACCCAAACCCATGTCTGTGTTTCCACGGTAACCAGGCATATTTTCAGTTTTAAAGACAGCTGGTCTTCTCCAGTATGTCTGAAATAAGCAGCTTTGCATGAAGTCCATTAAATGCATAAATTCAACAAAAGGCCTATATTTATTTTCTTCCAAATCTTAAAATGCTTCCATTAGAAGCTGCAGTCTCCTCCTCCAGCAGTGTCGTGCCTGCAGAGAGCAGGAACACAATCGCAGCGTTAATGCTCCCAATCAGGCTTTATGTGTCAGCGACTGAAAGGCTGAAGCTGCTCCCCGTCTGCTGAAGCCTAATCCTCTGTCAGGCTGATTTGTCCAACAGGTGCTCAGTCAGGCAGCTTTAGCCACATTAGCAGCTTTTAAGTCCCTGTGAAGCTCTGAGCTGCGATTGAAAGGTTCCTGTTCCTCTGTCTTTCCTTCCATGGTGTAGCGCTGCTCTGTATGCTGACACATATAAACACCAGTATAGTCAACCTCATTTTCAGGATGTGAGTGTTTTATGGAGGCCT